AACAAGGAGGTATCACCTCACACCTGTCAGAATGGCTACCATCAACAAATCAACAGATGACAAGTGCTGGCGAGGATGTGGAGAAAAGGGAACCCTAGTGCACTGCTGGTGGGAATGCAGACTGGTGCAACCATTATGAAAAACAGTAAGGAGTTTCCTCAAAAAGTTAAATATGGAACTGCCATTTGAACCAATGATCCCACTTCTAGCAATATAGCCTAAGAAACCCAAAACACCCATCAGAAGGAATGTATACATCCCTATGTTCATAGCAGCACAATTTACAATAGCTAAGATGTGGCAACAGCTCAGTGCCCATCAGTAGATGAGTGGATAAAAAAGCTGTGGTGCATTTATACTATGGAATACTATGCAGCAGTAAAGAAAGAAGGATCTCTTACTCTTTGAGACAGCATGGACCTGGAAAGTATTATGCTAAGAAAAATAAGTTAGTTGGAGAAAGACAAGTATCACATGATCGCACTCATATGTGGAATCTAAGTAACAAAATAAACTGATGAATGGAATTGGTCCAGAGATGTGGAAGCATGGAATGGAGTGCAGAATCTCTGAGGAAAAGTGGGGGAGGTTGGGTGGGTGGGAGGTAATCAACCAAAGACCTTGTATGCATATATGCATAATCCATGGACACAGACAATAGGGTGCTGAAGGCCTGAGGTGGGGGGCTGGGGAGGGATGGAAGGGGTCTATGGGGGTAAAAAGGGGACATATGTGTTAGGTTAGGTGGCTCAGGGGGCGGCACAAGAAATAGAGAGTCCAGTGAATCAGAAAAGAAAGGAAAGGAAAGGTCTATTCTGCTTCCCCGGGAGACCCACGTACCCCAAGGACAGGGCACGTGGATTCACGCCAACAGGGAGGGGGCACTTTTTTTATACTGCGGTTGGGTGAGGGGCGAGGACATGAGCTGAGGTATTCAGTTGAGGAAGTTTCAGCTGCAGGGGTCAGCCAGGTATTCAGGAATGAGTCAGTATCTGTGTGGGGGTCGTGGAGAAGCCAGTATCTGTGTCTGGCACGTTGATTTGTGAGAAATTCCAGGGGAAGTCCATTGTCTCATCACATGTCTGCATGTATCCGATCCTGGGCTCTCTCCAACCTAACAATATGTAATGCTTTTTAAATAAAGAATTTTTTTGAAAGTGAAAGAGGTATCATGATGACATATCATCAAATAGAGACTAGTGATAAGGAGATGAGAATATGAAATGAACCATTCCTCAGAGGGACTCCATGGCAGAAGTCAACTGACAGTGATGGGGAAAATGAGACATTTTGGGGAGGGCTAGCAATCTGAATCTGTGCCATTAACCTAATGCACATTCTTATTAGCCTATAGCAGTGATGGCAAACCTATGACACGTGTGTCAGAGATGACACACGAACTCATTTTTTTGGTTGATTTTTCTATGTTAAATGGCATTTAAATATATAAAATAAATATCAAAAATATAAATCTTTGTTTTACTATGGTTGCAAATATCAAAAAATTTCTATATGTGACACGGCACCAGAGTTAAGTTAGGGTTTTTCAAAATGCTGACACGCCAAGCTCAAAAGGTTCGCCATCACTGGCCTATAGTCTAGCCACTTCCCCTTTAATTGTCTGGTCCTGCAAGACCTGTTTACTCCCATTTTAGAGAGTCCATAGCTATCCGCAGAAGGAGTTATCAGTGCTGGTGCCAGACCAGGCCTTTAGTAGTGGTTTCAAGGCCCCAGCACATGGGGGTCTTTAAGAACTTTCAAAGGGGACTGGAAAAACCCTTATTTGGGAGACAAAGGGCTGGAAAGATATAAAAGGGGAGGGCTTCCTCCATGGCTTTGCTCAAAATTTGAAATCTTTCTCTGAGCCTACGCGGCATAATAAACAGTGTAACTCCATTTCTCTGGGCATTGCTTGGTTTTTCTCTGGTCTTCTGTAACAACAGAAGTCTAGAATCCAGGAACATTGACATCAATTGATAAAAACTATGGAGCCTGATGATCAGAGAAAAACAATGAAGGAAAATATAGAATTGAAACAGGAATTTGAGGGGTAAAATAGGACAGATTTAGGAAATTTTAGAAATTTTGGAAATTAAGGGGACCATGGAGGAAGCACAGGGCTGCAGAGCAGCAGAAGGTATATTTGCATAGAATAGAAAAGCTGAAAAGCTGCAACAGGTACATTTCCATAGAATGAGGGAGCTGGGAACAGCAAAAGGTCTATATTTACAAAATAAAGAGAAGGAAGCCCTTCATCCAGAAGGAGAGGAAGAAAGCCCAAAGGGAATAGAAAAACAATAAGGAAGGAGAGGGGGCGAACCTCACATGGTCCTTTGAGCCCAGGAGTTACTATAGCAACCAGTCTAAGGAGATAGTGACCAATCAGAGGGGATATCAAGGCACCAGGATCTGCCAGCCTTTATAAGCCATAGGGAAAAGGAACTCTGTGGGAACCTTTCCCCCTCCCTACGTAAGAGTCCATTCTGGGAGACTCTTTCCCTCTCCCCATGTGGAAGTCTGTACTTATTCTTCAATAAATTTCCACCTTTGCTATACCACTTTCTGTTCGTGGATTCATTCTCTGATTCTGGCGGACAAAGAATCCGGGTTCCAGTCCAAAATTCTATTTCACAATCTTAGAGAAATGTGGGCACCATTAAGTTTACCAATATACACATGAGAAAACACTCATTGCATGTCTTAACATAAAAAAGCAACAACATTGAAACCTGTAAAGAATTTTTGTGAGTTTATTTGAACCAAACTGTCGACATATGCCGGGAAGCAGAACCTCAACAAATTGAGATAATGTGGGTTACATGAAATCCATTGGTGATAGACTAGAGAGGCAGGAGGAGAAAGCAAAGCAAGGAAACCCCTGGGATTGGATAAAAAGTAAAATGATAGAAACATACTTAGGTGGGTGTAGGAACAATTAACATGATAATGAAGGTATTTGTGGTATCTGTCCTGGCACCCAGCACATTAGGTTGTGCCCCAAGGGGTCCAGAAAAAGGGAAGTTACAAGTTACCTAGACATTTCAAAGGGTATGTTATTATAGATGCAAAAAGACAGATAGGCCCTAACGGGTTTGGCTCAGTGGATAGAGCGTCAGCCTGTGGATTCAAGGGTCCCAGGTTTGATTCCAGTCAAGGACACGTACCTTGGTTGCGGGCACATCCCCAGTAGGGAGTGTGCAGGAGGCAGCTGATCGATGTTTCTCTCTCATGGATGTTCTAACTCTCTATCCCTCTCCCTTCCTCTCTGTAAAAAATCAATAAAATATATTTTTTTTAAAAAAAGAAAGACAGATAGGCTCAGTTAAGGTAAAGGTTGACCCTGTCAGTGAAGATACTGGCCTAGGATGTAACTGCCCACCATAACTGCTTTTAGTTAAAGTTTCATTTCAGACCATCCTTTGTGGTTGTTTTAGGTCTCTGAGTTTGCAAGACTGCCATGCAGGCCTTCCCTGAGCTTGTCAGGTTAGCATGTGGCCCTTTTCAACCACACATGCAAGGGACGCTCAACATGATTAATGGCTTATTTCTGATCAGACAAGCATGTCACAAGGTGGTGGGGACAGGCAGCATGGTTGAATACCCTCTTTCCAAAACAGTGCATCAGCCAAAACAGGACCTTAAAAATGCTAAATCAGAACATTAAAATAAACACAACATGCTTGAGATTCTGTTACTATTACTCTAAGCAGTAACTATTATTAAACTTATTTCCATTGTGGCAATACTTTAAACCACCAGCTGGGGAGCTGGGGGAGGGGAAGGGACTGCAATGCTAGAAATTCTCTCACCAGTCCCTGAGGTTTTCTCACAGTGTTCTAGAGGGATTCAGTTATGATAACTGATTCAAGTGAAAATGCAGAAATGACCCCATAATTTGATAATGTTTCAGAAGCAATCTTGGTATAAGAATTTAAACAATTTAAAATAAATGCAAAGATTTTTATAATCTGTCTTTCCTCCACTAAAACAAATGCCACAGAATGCACATGAAAAAAAAAATTTTTAACCCAAAGTATTTTCCAAAACTTCTGAAAAGCTTGTGGAAAATCTGTTGACATGTTGGAGGAAATTAACCTCTGGTGCCAGTGCACTGGTGCCAGCAGCACAGTTGTGAGCCTCCCTCACCCTCCCTGCCATGGTTTAACATTAGAGCCCTTGGGCCTGGGAGCCACCAAGGGTCACGGAGCTGCCTTTCCTCCCTGGAAACGCTGAGATTAGGGCTGAACAAATTCCTAGAGTAGAAATTAAGGGCCACAATTAACTGGATGACTTAACTTGGCCATCTTGCCATTTCTTTCCACGGCAGGCCCTGGTTCTGCTGCAAAGTGACTCAGCTGTTTCAGCTCCATCCCTGTTCACTGGCCTTTGGGAACAGCTTCACAGCCCAACTCCTTCCTCCTGGGCACCATGTTCCAGGCCTCAGCTCCTGCCGCATCCTGCCCTGTCTTCTTATCCCAGGACTGTGCTAGGAGATGCTCTGGAGTCTGGACAGGCATTTATAGGGCACACCACAAGGCTCAGAGCCTCCAAGTGGACACTGCTTGGTGTTCTAGGGCCAGGCCAGGGCCAGAACATGCAGGAGGATCACCAGGACAGAGAGCAGTCGAAGCAAGAAAGAGACTCGACTTCCTAACCAATGATACTTACTGTACTAAGAGCTCACCACCAGGAAGCATGGTAAGTAATCCCCGGGGTGGGGAGGTACCAGGCAGAACAGAGAGCCTGGAAACCCACACACAGTCAGACACACAAGTAGGAGAGTGCTCTGGATGATCAGCTGTCCTCCGAAAAAAGAAAACCAGATGGCTACTTCAGACCTGGCACGAGATGGTGTCTGGTGTCCCCAGAAAGACACAGCAAAGTCCTCACCCCAGAATCTGAGAGAACCTCAGGTGGGGGTAGGGTCTTTGCAGATGCAATCAAGTTAAGATGAGTGTAAAGTTACTGGCGCAGGAAAACAAAGAGAGCCCAGTCAGCCAGAGAAGAAAGAAAAGAAAAGGTTTAATCCGCGTCCTTGGGCGAAATCCACGAGCCCCAAAGGCAGGGCCAGTGAATTCACGCCAACAGGGAAGGGGGGGCTCCTATTCATACAGGTGTTTAATGAGGGGCAGGGGGCATGAGCTAAGGAAGTTCCTGCCGCGGGGGGTCGTCACGGTATTCAGCTGAGGAAGTTCCCGCTGTGGGGGTCAGCATGTTGACCTAACATCCCAGCTTTTTGGTGATAGGGGGCGCCAGTTCGTTCTGACTACTTCCAGCTGACCAGGGATGATGGGCGAGGGGGGGGGGGGGGGGAAGGAATGGAGGGGTTTAAAGGCCAGGGTTAGGCAGAGGCAGGTCGGAGAGTAGTCGAGTGTAGGGATGAAGCAGGAGCTGATTTACAGTCACCCGTGACATCTCCACGATCCAGGAGCAGATGAATTTGAGGAGGCAGGGGGCTAGGAGAAAAAAAGACACAGATAAGAATCAGGGGCCCTATCATGGGTAGGACCCAGGTAGCTAAGGAGCTTTGGAACCAGCTGAAAAGAGAGTTGTCCCAGGAGTGTCTTGCATGTAGTTCTTCTGCACGTTTTGCTCCACTACTCCGGACTCATCGATGTAGTAGCAGCATTCCTCCTGAAGGAATATGCAGGTTCCTCCTTTTTCTGCAGTCAGAAGGTCTGAGGCATGCTGGTTCTGTAGGGCTACCTGGGCTGCTGATATTACCTGCCACTGCAGGGAGGCTAAAGAGGCAGTATTAGACTCCAGAGCTAACTGGAGCTTGTCATTGAAATCCTGAGCAGAGACCAGACTGTTCCCGAGGGCCCCCCTGGCAACGCCTACTGAGGCAGCGATACTCACCCCTAACATGGCGGGCCTGGGGGCAGGATGAAGGGAGCAGCCAGGCAAGCTCCAACTCTCCATACAAGGTTAGTTGGGGAACTACTGTGTCTATGAAGCAAGGCCCGGGGTCAGAGGAGTTCATGCAGTTGCTTAAGGTGCTGTTGCACCAAAAGAAGGTACCCGGGCTGGCCTTGGTGAGACTGGCTGCGGTGTGGTTGGGGTACAGTTCCAAGTGACTCGTCCCCCAGTTATCGGATTACTGGTCTGGTAGCACATCCATGGGGGCAGGGTGCACTCTGGAGTTTTGGGAGGCATCACAGACCTTGAGCCTCCACACATAAGTGGGTGGGGGTGGGTGTAGGTTACTCAGGGCCGGGAGGAGAAGAAGGAGGGGGAGGGCAACTAGGGCGGACCTTAGTGGGGCCCAACACCTCACATTTATAGAAGTCGTGCTGCTCCGGGGTCCTCGAGTCTGGAGAGGTGGTGCCACAATGGGTCACCAAGCAGCTTGGCCGCAGTTGGGTTTGTGAGGATTACAGTGTGAGGTCCCGTCCACCTATGCACCAAGGCTTTTGGATGTAGATTCATAAGGAGGACCGAGTCAACAGGGTGAAGGGCTGGTCCTCTGGAGCCCTGGTCGGTCAGCTCTGGCTTGGGCAGAAACCTGTCCACATATTCTTGGAGCAGCTGCCTGAGTAAGGACAGATATGGGAGATACGTACCCAGGGGAGGAGGATCAGTAGGGAGACAGTGGTTGAGCAAGAAGGGTCTCCCATATAGAAGTTCAAAAGGGCTTAAGAAGGTGGGGCTCCTTGGTGTAGCCCAGATTCTGGTCAGGGCCATGGGCAGGAGGTTCAGCCAGGAGCTGCGAATTTCTGAGCTTCTTCCAGAGTAAAAATCGGAGGGTCCCTTGCCAGGTAAGAGCCTGTGAGGAATGATGGGTCATCAGGTCCTAGATGGTGTTGCTGAGTCCTCTTCGGGGATGGTGGGAGGCATTTGGTGAGCCTGAGAGAGGTGGGTATTGCAGTGAAAATGGGAGGGAATGTTAGAATGCGCTGTTATCCAAGGGAAAAGAGAAAGGGTAGGAAAGGTGCAGTGGAAGCCGGGGACCTGGATATGAGGCTGGAGGAAAAGTGGCGGGGGGGGGGGGGGGGGGGGGGAGAGCAGGCTCCCCTGCTCCCAGGCCTCTAGCAACTTGGATTTTAAAGCTGCCGCATTTTTTCCTAGAGATAATGATCTCAGTTTCGATAATAGCCGGACTGTTGAGTAAACCTGTGCAGTCAAGGAAGTTTCTTTTGGGAAGAGTGGAGTGGGGGAGGAGGAGAGGGCGAGAAGGCGCTGAGGTCAGAGCAGTTTTCAGAGCATTAAAGGGGTGAGGATGTTGGCCTTGGGATCTACTGGGCTCAGTGAGGGGGTCCCTTCGCCATGTCACATCATAGAGGAGCTTTGCAAGAAGACTACAGTTGTGAACCCGGAGTCAAGAGTACCTAGTGAGCCTGAGGAAGGAGAACATTTCTTGTTCAGAGGAGGGAACAGTCACAGAGGAGATAAGAGATAAGGCATCCACAGTCCAAGGAATGGTGTGGCCCTGTGAGGTGAGAAAGCGAAACTGAGGTAGGTGACTGTGGTCTGGGACAACTGGGCCCCATAAGGGGACTCATGGCAGTGGGGGATCAGCATCCCCGTGAAGGGAGGGGACCAGGAGCGGAAGGAGCAAGGAGGCTGAAGGGCTCCGAGTGAGCTGCAGAGTGGCCTCTAGTTTGGTGAGAATATCTCATCCTAAAAGGGGCACAGGGCATGAAGGCATGACTAAGAACAAGTGGGTTATAGGGCTATCATCAAGGAGACAGGGAAGGGGTCTGATGGTCAGCAGGCAGGTGAATTTGCCATCAATACCCATGACCGAGATCGTGGAAGAAAAAAGGGGCCCTGAAAAGGAGGGCAGCACAGAGAAGGTAGCCCCTGTGTAGACCAGGAAGGAGACCCACATACCCACTACCTTCAGCGTGACCCTGGGCTCGGCAAGGGTGATGGGGGTCGTCGAGTCCCGGCTCCTTCAGTCTTCCGCCAGTCCCAGCATGGCCAGCGGTGGGACATGACCTGGAAGGGCGGCCCCTCCACGCTAGGGTGCAGAGGGCCCGCCACCTTTCCAGGGGCAGTCACTTTTCCAGTGACCACTTTGACCGCACGCCGGGCAGGGCTTGGTTGGAACCCGGGGCCAGGGGCACTGCTTTGCCCAGTGGCCTTCATTTCCGCATTTGAAGCATTCTCCAGGTGGCGTTCATCCTCTCGTTGCACCCCCACTGCGCACAGCCCCCTTGGAACCATGGGTGGCTGCCGTTGGCCGCAGGGCTGCAACCAGGACTTGTGTTTGCAGGTCTACCTTCTGTCGAAGGCAGGCCTCCCGATCTGACTCTGCCTGCTCCTCACGGGCATTAAAAACCTTAAAGGCCATGTTCACTAGATCTCAGCCCAGGGTCTGAAGGCCATTCTCAGCCTTTTTTAACTTTTTTTCAAATATCTTGGGATGACTGAGAAATGAAGTGGGTGGCTAGGAGCTGGAAGGAGAGAATGGGACATGGACTTGGACTATGCCCTCAGTTCCTGCTGCCTCCCTCAGGGGTAGAATGGATACAGAAAGGGAAGAGGCTGTTGAGGAAGGCAGTCTGTGGGTGGCCTGAGAATGACTGTTAGAGGGGAAAGGCTGTTTTGGAGCTCACATTCTCAAGATTTGGGCTCTCAGGGATAGGAGAGAAAGTGGCTGCTGGTTAAGAGGGTCTGAAGAGAAAGAGCCAAGGCATTTTTCAATTTGAGGAAGATCAGAAAGTGAGAGAGAATGGCTACCTGGATAATATCCTTCCCAGCTGCAACCTCTCGCAAAGGGAACTGGCCGGCCACCTGTGAATTCAATAGCTGGCAGTCGTCGGGGCAGAGATTCAGTGGAGCGCACAGGGGAAGGCGAGTGGTTAGAATTCTTAGAGGGTACAGCGTGGGGCACAGGTTTCTACGGCAGGGTTGTAAGGGCGGGGGGGGGGGGGGGGGAGGGGCGGGAGCGGGAGAGGTGGAGATGAATGATCCTGGGCAGGCCCGGGAGAGGTATCGGAATTTCTTGATGAACGTGGTGGGGTTGGCGGAGAAGGACCCCAGCCGCTTTTCAATTGCCCTCAGACGCTGCTGCAACCTCCGGGGGGGACGGGGTGCTGCAAACGCGTGTGTTTACTGACTGGGGAAGCAGGCGGGGGTGGGGGAGGGTGGGATTGCCTGGCGAGTTGAGCTTGCAGTGGCCAAGGCAGTGGGCAGAAGAGGGGGGAGGTCAGCAGGTAGAGGAGAAGGCATTGCCGGAGGGGGGTAGCGGAAGGAGGAGGAGAGGGTGGGGACGGCAAGGCAGAAGGGACTTTGGGGAAAGGGACGAGGACGCAGACAGAGAGAGAGAGAGACTTGGGCATATTTCCCAGTTTGTTGGCAGAAATTACTGAGATCAGTATGGATGGTAAAGTCAAAGGTCCCGTTTTCATACTGAGGCCATGCTACGTTACAGAAATAAATGAGGCATTTAGGACCCAGGTCTGGGGCAGGCCTAGTGTTTAGCCAGGTAAGCAGGTAGGCACCCTAGAGGTGTGCTCGCAGCAGGTTTGGAATTTCGATTCCCCATGCTAGATACCTGAGGCCAGTAGCGGGGGCCAAAGGGCCCGTGTCCCAGTGGTTTGGCCAGGGCTACGGACGGACGGAGGAACGGGGGAGGATAGGGACATCTCCGCTATCTTCCGGGGTCCGGAGGAGCCCTTTCTGGAAGGATCTGGAGAACAGGGCAATGTCTGTCTCGGCTGAGTTTTACGGACAGAGATGCCAGAGGGCGACCTGAGGGATTGACATGGGGCGGGACTTACCGCTAATGTTGCCAAACCGGGAAAGCTGCCAAGCCGAGAAAAGAGCTGCTAAGCTGAGGAAATGCGGTCCTGAGGGGTCCTGAGCCACGAGGAGGGAGAGGAGGGCACCCCGAGCCGTGGAGGGACGGCTGAATGGGGTGCTCGCGCCACCTGGGTCTCAAGGCACCAAATGTAAAGTTATGGTGCAGGAAAACAGAGTCAAGTCAGCCAGAGAAGAAAAGGAAAGGTTTAGTCTGCGTCCACGGGCGAAATCCACGAGCCCCAAAGGCAGGGCCAGTGAATTTGCGCTAACAGGGAAGGGGGGCTCCTTTTTATACAGGTGTTTAATGAGAGGCGGGGGGGGGGGGGGGGGCATGAGCTGAGGAAGTTCCCACTGCGGGGGGTCATCACGGTATTCAGCTGAGGAAGTTCCTGCCGTGGGGGTCGGCATGTTGACTTAACAATGAGGTCATTAGGATGGGTTCCAATCCAATAACTAGCATCCTTATAAGGGGAAATTTAGAGAGAGAAGACACACACGAGAAAAAAAAGCTGCAGAGACACACAAGAAGAGAACCCACAAGACAACAGAGGCAGAGATCAGGGTCATGTAGCCACAAGCCCAGGGACACCTGGGGCACCAGGACCTGCAAGAGGCAGGAAGGACCCTCCCCTGGAGCCCCCTGAGGGAGCTCAGCCCTGTGACACCCTCACTTTAGACTTATGGAGGAGAATAAATGTCTGCTGTTTTAATTCACCCAATTTATGATAATTTATTACAACAGCACTAGGAAACGAATACAATGCTACTTACAAAACTCAAGCTTATTAAACAGAATTATCATATGACCCATCAGTTTCACTCCTGGGTGTATACTCAAGATAATTGAAACATGTCCACCCAGGGTTTATGCACCCCTAAAAATAAAAGGTAATTATGTGAAATGACGGAGGTGTTAATTGTCACTACAATGGCAAACATATTACAATGTATATGTATGTATCAAGTTAACATGTTGTACACCTTAAATTTACATGTTGTATGTCAAACATATTACAACAACAAAAATCTTGTACACAAATGTTCACAGCAGCATTATTCACAATAGCCAAAAAGTGGAAACAACCCAAATATTCACCAACAGATGAATGGAAAAGTAAATATCCATACAATGGATTTGTTACAGGCAGTTAGACAGACATGAGCAGAGCAAGGACTTGGGCCAGGTACAGAAAGCCCCGGGTGCCTAGCAAGGGGGCAAAACTGGGAAAACAAGGACCTCACCCCCAGGGTAACCTTTCCTGTCCTAGCATATCACAGGTCATAACATCTGGGCCTCAGTTGTAGTTCAGTTCCAGGCCCAGAAAAGCTGCAAAACTAGACAAGTGGCATGTAACTGCCTCAGGACCAGGTACATTGACTAATGACCCCGGTGCCAACCAATCAGTGGAGACCACGACCCTCAAAAAACACATGGAAGCTGATGAATAGTCTATTGAGACCCTCCTCTGAGATCTCCCCTAAAATTTCCATCACAAGAGAGAGATAAATACCCTCAATGCAAAGAACCCAGTGCTCTCGCTCTGCCCCAGGGGATCATGCCCATGCCATTCCCTTCCCCCACAGGCGTGCATCTCCTAAACTCTAAGGGACCCCAGGAGACTTGCAAACAAGGGAGCAATGGACAGCTGCAGCACGGCACATCCTGGGCTAACCCCCTGAACCTGTCTCCAACTCCTCCTTTTCTTTGACTTCCCAGTGAACCAAAGCATCCCAGTTTAAGCTCTCTTGTTGCTTCTTCCATGCGCTTCCTTGTTTCACTGCCCTAAGTGTGTTTTTGCTGCAGCCAATAAATTCTTGTTTGCTTTGCTGCACTTTGCCTCTTTACTGAAATCTTTCTTTCAAGAAGATAAGAACAGAGGTCTCGTCATCCCGCCACTAACAGAATACTATTTAGCCATAAAAAGGAATACTGTCACATGCTACAGTGCTCAGCAAAAGCCACCAGACTCATGGTGTGTGATTCCATTTATATGAAACATCCAGGACAGGTAGTCCATAGAGACAGAAAGTACATTATCAGGGCCTGGGGGAGGTAAAATGGGAGTGACTTTGTACCAAAGGACTCAGGGAGGTTGCCTGGACTTTGTAATGAGTATGGGGTCTCCTCTTCAGGCACCTGTGGAAACTCCCTAGCAGCTGCCAAGTTATTTAACACTAGAGGACCAGTGCACAAAATTCGTGCCTGGGTAGGGTCCCTAGGCCTGGCCAGTGATCAGGGCCGATCAGGTTCCCCGCCTCCCCGCCTCCCTGCCTCCTCCTTTCCTCGCTCCCTCAGTGCCCCACCACTGCCACTGGTCACCCGCTATGTTCTGCACTGCCCCCTGGTGGTCAACACACATCATAGCAAGCAATCGCACTCCCAAGGGGACACTTTGCATATTAGCCTTTTATATATATAGATGGGGACTTTCCTTAAGTGCTTGTGAACTTTCCCAGTCTCCTTCACTGTTGGTTGAATTGGCATTCCATTCTGTTTGCCCACCTGTTCTGGTCTGGTCTGTAAATCCTGAGCATTGTAAGCCAGGAGTGGCATATTTAAGGTGCCTTCTGTTTCTGTTCTGGTCTGTTTCTCTTTGTGGGTGCTGAATAACTCAAAAAGCATGGGAAATGCACTAGCAACCCCATCTGACAGCCCTCTGTTTCACATTCTGGCTGATTGGTCGACCTATGCCTATGATTCTATGCTAAAAGGAAAATGGTTTTCTGCTTGGCCTCACTCTTAAATATCCTCTCAGCTGGGAACAAGAGATGATTAGTGTTTGGGAACGCACATTTTGAGGATCCTGTCTGTAGGTTGTGCGCACCTGTAAATATTGTATATAAGAGTGTCTCTGTTGATTGTTGTTTTCTGTCTCTTTGTTGTTTGGTTTAATTGTTTAAAGATGGGGCACATCCTACTTTGGGGGATACAGCTGCTTGCAGGAATTTCAAGTCATCAGCCACCGGAAACTCTTAGCTAGTGAGATTTCTTGTCTGTCTGTAATGTAATTTTGGTTACTGATGTACTTTACTTGCTTTCTATCTTTTGGGGACTTAGTTTTCTCTTTGCCTTTTTATGTACATAGGGTATCCTATCTCTGCTGTGTGTAGGCTTTGTGCCACTCGGAACCAAAGGTCATTTGCTGTACTGGGATGGTATAAAAGATTCTAAGGCTAATGTCCCATGTCTGTCCTTTTGAGAGTATTCATTTATTTACTACTAGAGGCCTGGTGCATGAAATTCGAGCATGGGGGTGGGGGTTGTCCCTCAGCCCGGCCTGCACCCTCTCTAATCTGGGACCCCTTGGGGGATGTCTGACTGCCACAGGGGTCGGACCTAAACCGACAGTCAGACATCCCTCTCACAATCTGGGATTGTTGGCTCCTAACCATTCACCTGCCTACCTGCTTGATTGCCCCTAACCACTTCTGCCTGCCAGCCTGACCGCCCCCTAACTGCTCCCCTGCCGGCTTGATTGCCCCCAACAGCCCTCCCCTGCCAGCCTGATGGCCCCCAACTGCCCTCCCCTGCTGGCCTGGTCGCCCCCAACTGCCCTCCCCTGCAGGCCTGGTCGCTCCCAACTGCCCTCCCCTGAAGGCCTGGTCACCCCCAACTGCCCTCCCTTGCCAGCCTGTTTGCCCCCAACTGACGTCCCCTGCTGGCCATCTTGTGGCAGCCATGTTTTGATGGCCATCTTGTGGCACCCATCTTGTGATGACATGAGGGCATGGCATGAGGGCATGAGGACCACCTAGTCTTTTATTAGTATAGATAGGGGTGTTTGTTTCTTTGTTTGTTTGTTTTTAAGATCTCTTCTTATATACAAGACTAGAGGCCCAGTGCTCAAAAATTTGTGCTCTCGGGGGGATCCCTCAGCTTGGCCTGTGCCCTCTCGCAGTCTGGGACCCCTCAGGGGATGTCCACCTGCTGGCTTAGGTCTGCTCCCCAGGGGATTGGGCCTAAACTGGCAGTCAGACATCCCTCTGGCAGCCCGGCAGCCCTCGGGGGATGTCCACTTGCCAGCGGGAAGCAGGCCTAAGCTGCAGTTGGACATCCTTAGCACTGCTGAGGAGGCAGGAGAGGCTCCCACCACCACCGCTGTGCTGGCAGACGTCAGCCTGGCTTGTGGCTGAGCAGAGCTCCCCCTGTGGGAGCGTACTGACCACCAGGGGGCAGCTCCTGCATTGAGCATCTGCCCCCTGGGTGGTCAGTGTGTGTCATAGTGACCAGTGATTCCCAGTCCCTCTGCCGTTGGGGTCAATTTGCATATTACCCTTTTATTATATAGGATAGAGGCCTGGTGCATGGGTGGGGGCAGGCTGGTTTGCCATGAAGGGTGTCCTGGATCAGGGTGGGGGTGCCCACTGGGGTGCCTGGCCAGCCTGGGTGAGGGGCTGAGGGCCGTTTTCAGGCTGGCTACAGCCCCTTCAGGGCCGGGGTCCCCACCCTGAAGGGGCTGTAGCCAGCCTGCAAACAGCCCTCAGCCCCTCACCCAGGCTGGCCACACCCTCATGGGGTAAGGGTCCCTGCTGGGGGCTTGGCCAGCCTGCACACAGCCATCAACCCTTCACCCAGGCTGGCCAGGCACCCCAGCAGGGACCCCCACCCTGAAGGGGGTGTGGCCAGTCTGAAAACGGTCCTCATCCCCTCACCCAGGCTGGCCAAGCCCCCAGCGGGGACCCTTACCCCGTGAGGGTGTGGCCAGCCTGGGTGAGGTGCTGAGGGCTGTTTTCTGGCTGCCCACAGCCCCTTCAGGGTGGGGGAGTCCCACTGGGGTGCCTGGCCAGCCTGGGTGAGGGGCTGAGGGCCATTTTCAGGCTAGCCACACCCCTCAGTGACCCAACCTCCCAGCCTCTCCTTTTTTTCTTTTTTTTTTTTCTGGGATTTATTTATCTTCTATAATTGAAACTTTGTAGTCTTGAGTGGAGCCCAGGCCAGCCAGGGCAGGCAGGAAGCTTGACTTCCTCTATTGCCGGGGGCAACCCAAGCCTCCTGCTCACTCCAGCTCAGTGGCTGCCACCATCTTAGTTGGGTTAATTTGCATACTCGCTTCTGATTGGCTTGTGGGCGTGGCTTGAGCATAGCGGAGGGATGGTTAATTTGCATGTTTCTCTTTTATTATATAGGATTTCATGTTGTTACAGTCTACTCAGAAAGAAAAATGTGGGAAATAAAATCTCTTAAAACCCCCAAGTCTTTTTCCTAGGAGGCCAGATCTGCAGAAGTGCCCTCCAACAGGCTGCAGAAATAGCAGTGGGGGCCACTCCCATTTCATAAAAAAAATAAAATAAAATAGTACTTTGACATTAAAGTCACAAGAGGCTGGTGAGTTATCACTGTTACAAAATTTGCTAAGAAAAGGCTTTAGGTAATAAATTTAATTAGATAAATGAATCTAAAGTAAGCTAATACAGACTTTGTTTAGCCTTTTCTAGTCTGTTAAAAGAGAAAAAGTCTTTCGTGTTTTTGCCCAGGAAGCAAAAGTTCTATAAATTATTGAAATGGTTATATATTATGTTATATCAATCAGGTACTTAATTACTTAAAAAACAATCTTCTTAATTGTAGGAACTAAAGTTTTGCTAGCTTATGTTTCTGTTTAATACCCTTTTGTCACTTTGAATGAATAATCTAATAGTGTTTCATAGTAATAAGAATGATATATAATCTTTTGGTAAAATAACTTTGACAACCTTCCCAGGGTTTGAATTTTAAGAAACTTTTTCTTGACCTAGAAAATGGCTTTGAGTCACCCCAATAGGCCGTAGAATGCCCCAAGGATTTATTTTCTCTCATGAAGGAAAATTTTATATTTAAGGTAGATGGGAAGCCTTGTCAAATAAAGAAATAATAACTATATTCTATTTATGTATGCATATTGAATAGATTTTGATATGCTTTTATTTATCACTAATTGTTATTGGTTATAATATTGTGGAATATTGTGTTTTGCAGAAAGGACAAGATTCCATGCCATTTGCATTATAATCAAATCCATAACTGTGTCATTTTAAATCTCTTCTTGTCATTTGGAGACAGTCGCTGTTTTGTCATAATGCATCTGGAAAAATGTACATCCTCCAAGGGACCCATGGAAAGGACTCTGACATTTTCAGATCATCCCCTTCAAACTGGATTAAAATTATTAGAACTCTATAGTGTATCTGGTTTTATATAAATACTTGCAAGAAAAATCAGGAGAAATGGAATTTGATTGCAGAATTGAATAAACTAAAAAATAATTATAGTTTTTATACTTTCATAAGCAATGTTGAGGCATTTATATTTTTCTTCCTATCTGATCCCTCCAGAATTCAGAAACTCTTAATGAGTGAGTAATATTGTTCTCATAGCAATGTATTTGTTTGCATAATCAACAAATGTATTTGTTTGTATTTGTAATTTGTTTGCATCCAATAAGAATCTGATTTTTTCATAATAGGACATAGGGCAGTTTCCAATTGTGGTTTTATTAACCAAGACGTATGCTGGAGTGTCATGTCTAAGAGAGATATGCCAGGGTTCTGGATGTCACCGGAAGACTTGAAGCCAATGTGAGCACCTTGGAGAAAGAGCCTGGTACCTTGCTTGGTCAGTGGTTTATGACAGTCTTTCCAGGTAAGGAATGAATGTTGCTTTCCTGAGAGATGGCAAAGAGGAACCTCAAGACATCACTGGGGACCTCAATTTGAGGAATTCACTCACAGATACTGCAGGCAAACCTGCTAGCAGCTAGGTGGCTCAGCTTCTTTGCCCTGAGGGGCTAGTTAAAACTTGATCATGAGATTCCAGCAAAGCATATTTTTTAAAAATAGCCTATGTGATCAACTGTTATTCCTGTTGTGTTCATGCAAACAATCAGGCCAAATTAAAACTAGGTTTAATACAGTAAGTGAATCGGTCTTAATTTAGCTCCTTAAAAAAAATGAGGGTGATTTTAGGGGGAAATTTTGTGTTTCAGTAGACTCTATAACACACAGATATGAATATTAGCACCTATGAATTGGTGCTTTTACCCCAATAATACTAAAATTTATAATACAGTTTGTCTCCACCAGGTTACAAGCCCTACTCGTACTCAGGGAATATCACCTCTAGACACCATTGCCACCTCCTTCCGTGCCCAGGTCTCATCATCCCTCTGACAGAGAGCAAGGATCTCTTGGGTCTAAAAGAAATCTTCAACCCTCCTCAGCTTGAAGCAGCTAAAGAAGTGACTCTGTGTCTCTTTCCCTGAAAGAATTCAGAGCCAAGGTCCTTGAGGGGTGTGGTGGGCAGTTAGACAGACACGAGCAGAGCGAGGACGATGGGCCAACTGGAGGAGAAGTGGACTGGACCCTGAAACATGCTTCTCACCACGCCAACTGCTCTGAAGCTGGCCACAGAGGAACCTGTGCAGAATGGACCTTTACATTTTGCTGAGTAGGAGTTGGGACACCTATTGCTAATACATAGAATTATTCCATTCATTTGGGGAAGTCACATACTGGGACCTTTATACATGGGACCCACTGTTTGGGAAAAGGATGCAGGGATGCTTTCTCTAAAGGTTACTGCAGTAGCTACCTGTGGTGAATGTCTGACTTGTACCGGGTGTTCTAGATATTGTCTTTAGTAATAACTACAATATGAATTGTTCTGATAAATTCACCCTACCTTATAGTAACGGACATACTAAGCTCCTGGCTGGCTGGTTTCTAAGATATGTGGGGCAACTAATTATTCATATATCCCTGCTAACAGCCCTGTTCCTTAGGACGAATGACTGTCGTTATGTCTCAGAAACACAGGGTCCAAACCAAAGGAGATCTTCTCAGGCCGACTGCAACAATGATCACCTGTGGAGCCCTGATGAACATGTTGCTTTAACCATTTTTATATGCTAGTAACTAGAGGCCCGATGCACTAAATTTGTGCAAGAGTAGGCCTTCCTTCCCCAGCTGCCGACACTGGCTTCCCTCTGGCACCAGGGACCTGGGCTTCCCTCGTAGCCCAGCTTCGTCCGGAAGGACATCTGGTCTAATTAGCATATTATGCTTTTATTATTATAGATTATTATAGATAGTAGGCTCCCTTAATGTAAAAGTGGCCTGGCTGGCTTGCAGCATGGTAACAGCCCTGAATGCCACTTCCGGGCTATACAGGAAATAAATCAAAAGCTAAACCAGGTCAGGGAGGCAGTTCTAGGGAACCGTGCTGCCATAGATTGTTAATTATTAAGACATAATCATGGATATGAGGACTTCAAAGGCATGTTCTGCTTTAACTTAACTGACAATTCAGAACTTATAGAACATAAACTACAAGCAGTGAAGGAAACACTCTCCCAAGTCACCTAAAGGGGAGGATCCTTTACCTCGCTGGTTGGTTTAAAGGACGCTTTCCTCATGTTTTCACTTATTGTTTTAATTTAACATCTTGTTGCTGTATTCAATGTATGCCCCTCTTTTCTAGTGCATGTCAAGTCATCAGACCTAAAAGAGGTAATCGCCACATAGCAGGGGCAAAGTCAGTAGCATTATAGCAATATGGTGGGTTTAAAAACAAAATTTACTATAGTATAAGGTTGACAGATATCAACTAATCTGCCTAATCAGAGGGAGGACTTATAATCTAATAGACAGAGCACCTGAGTTAATCTGAAAGATAATCATATTAGTTTGAAATTCTGAAATACATATACATGTGGGAACAGAGGGATAAGCTTTTTTTCTTTTCTAAGTTTCATTTCTCAGGCCAGTGCACCTGCATACTCCCTTTGATCCTGAACAACATGATGGAGGAGGTGATTCAACTGCAAACAATGTATACTGTACCCAACAGGCAAGCAGAACTACTAAGCATAACCAGGCAGACCCCACCAGGAGCCAAGCCGTCATCTCATTGCCTGACAACCAAGAGCAGTGGTTGACATCTGCTGACATCCAGGACTGCATGCAATTGCATTCTGTCCCCAACCTCACCCCAGCTCATTTTTCCTATATAATCCTGTTCCCTGCACCTTACTATCAAGACAGGTTTTGGATGCTTGTAAGCTTCCTGTCTTCTTGGTTGACTGGCCTTCTCAATAAATGCCTTATATGATTCAACCCTGCCTTCGTTATTGGACATTGTGACAGGCAGCCCAAGCCCACCTGGGGGTTCCCTAGTAACAGTGTTATATGCATTTTTAAATTATGAATTTATGTAATGTGAATCTTATTCAATAAAAAACGTCAAGCTGAGATGTATTAAAAGCCTAACTAAAAAATCTAAACAACTTTTAGGAAAAAAATATTTTTATGCAAGGATTTCTTTTTTACTGATATGTAAATGATACATAACACTAAATTAGTTTTAGGTATACAACATAATTATTCAATATATGTATATATTGCAATATAATTAACATGGTAAGCTTAGTTAATATCCAGGACTTCTTTTTTGTTAAATACATTTTTATTGATCAAGAGAAGGTAGAGCCCTAACCGGTTTGGCTCAGTGGATAGAGCATTGGCCTGCGGACTGAAGGGTCCCAGGTTCGATTCCGGTTAAGGGCATGTACCTTGGTTGCAGGCACATCCCCAGTGGGGGGGGGGGGCGGGTGCAGGAGGCAGCTGATCAGTGTTTCTAACTCTCTATCCCTCTCCCTTCCTCTCTGTAAAAAAATTAATAAAATATATTTTAAAAAAGAGAGAAGAAGGTGGAGGGAGAGAGAGATAGAAACATCAATGATGAGAGAGAATCATTGATCAGCTGCCTCCTGCACACCCCACACTGGGGATCGAGCCTGCAACCCAGGCATGTGCCCTGAGTGGGAATTGAACCTTGACCTCCTGGTTCATAGGTCAACACTCAACCACTGAGCCATGCCAGCAGGGCTAGGATTTCTTAAACAAGACACAAACAGCAGCCAACCTAAAAAAGAAAAAAATTAATTTGACTACATTAAAATTCATAATGGCTGCCCAACAACACCAAAAACAAACCTTGGAATAAACCCTACCCCATTGACCCTACCCCACGTATGACCAGCAGGAATTCTTACACATGTGCATAACAATAGATACAAGGATTCAAGTGGCGGATGGAGGCAAAAAACTCTCAACAAACTCAGTCACCAGTGAGAGAATCAAATAAATTGCAGGGCACACCTGCTGAAGGCAGGGCACAATCCCAGAAGGAATGCAGCAGGTCCTCACCACTGACATGGGAAGACAGCATTACTAGGATTCTCTAGAGAAACAGAACCAACAGGAGGCACAAATATATACATCTGCTCAGCAAACTGGAGACTCAGGAGGGCCAACATTCCAGTTCAAGTTGAAGGAATGGACCAATTTCCCAGTAATCAGCAAGAACAGTTCTCTCTTCCTCCCCATTTGACAAGGCCACCCACCCTCGGGAGGGCCCTGTGCTTCACACAGTGCACTGAGTCAATGCTAACTCCACCCAGAAACACCTTCATAGACACACCAGATTCATGCAGGACCAAATGTCTGGGCTCCCATGACCCAGTAAAGGTGACACATAAGATCAGCCAACACCAGTACCCAGTGTGGAGATGTGAATTACAGGACACCAAGGGCACAATCTGATTTAGCTTGGAAAAGAGCAGAACAAAACGGCATGTACATGGACACAAGGATATATATCCCTACTATGCAAATAGACCGAACCGTGGAACAACCAAACAACCGAACAACTGGTCGCTATGACGTGCGCTGACCACCAGGGAGCACACACGGAACATGGCAGACGTCAGCAGCAGGCAGCAGAGCGCAGAACATGGCAGGCATCAGCCATGGTGAGATGGTGGAACAGGTGAGTGGGGGCACCAGACCAAGGCTGGGCGCTGGGCGCTATCATCGGAGCGAGCCTCTGGAGGTTAGTGAAAATTGTTTACTCCCGCACACTGTGGTTCCACCGGTCACTCGCATCTGCTGCCAGTGCCAACCCCAATCACTTGGCACCGTCATTGGGTGCGAGTGGTGGCTGCTGGCCATGATCGCCCCTCAGGGCTTCTTCACCTCCCCCTGCTCCTGAGGGGCAATCGGGGCCGGCAGTCCCCTCTCACACCCACTGCCGGCACTGGCCCACATCGCTCTGCGCCATCAGCAGATGCAAACGGGGCCAGCATCATCAGCATGTGGGAGCAGCAGCAGGAGCAGGGCTGCCAGCAGCCAGGGGACCAGGGACTGTGGTGGGAGGGGCCAGGCAGGGATGCGGAGGATGGGCTGAGACCCGTCCCTGTGCCCACCAGATCCTCACAGCCCACAGTTCTTTTCAAGGTGCATGAATTCGTGCACTGGGCCCCTAGTATTATATATCTGTAGGTGCACAGATGGAGATGGATGGTGGGAAAGAGGACACAATCCTTTCACCCTGGGTGCTTCTATGCCACTAAGTTGTACTCAATGGACATACATCCCATTTTCAGTTAAAAAATAGGAAGATAAAAATTTTAAAGAGGAAAGCCAAGCCAATGGGCTAGACCTTAACATGGGTCTCCACAAGAGAGATCTTCCAGGTAATACAGACCTGGGAAGAGGGGGCTGGACACAGTAGATAGGGACCTGAAGAAGTGAACATGTGTGCAAAAACCTGTATAATTCAGCCAGGCAGGGTACTAAGAGGACCAGAGCTTGGAGAAGACCCAGACACAGCCAAATTGGTATTTCATATCCCAACTCAGAGCAGTTGAAGACAGCATGTAGGTTGGCTCACAATGGCAAAGAAACTCTGTGACAATATAGCAAAAGCCCCATAGTGCACTATTTAGGAGGCCAGGCCTGGGCAGGACCAGGGTGGGGGCCATGGGAAGGTCACATGGGGCTATGGGAGGCAGACAAAGCCAGGCAGTTTCTATGGTGGTGCTGAGATGTTTGCCTCTCTCACTCTCATTCTTACAAATGTAGCGTTATTCCAAGGCTGCAGAAGTCCAGAGCAGAGAACTGGCTGTCTGGTGTGAAGCTGGGTATTAGAGATTTGCACACTGTAACAATCACTACTCTCCTCCTTACATTTTTTTTGTTGGTTTTGAAAAATAGTTATTTTTTTTTCATTAAAAATATGTTAATTAAATTAATATATAATGGGCTTATTTTAAATAAATTGATAAACATTGAAATTTTTCCTTGGCTTTGATATTGATAGATTTATTGCACATGAACTAAAGCTTTATGAGGTCCACAAAAGTTTTTAGGAGTTGAAGTAATTGTGAGACCAAAAACCTCCCAAAGGAATCCCTGACTTCCACAGAACATATATTTGAACTGTCTGCTTTAAAAACAAAGAAAGAATGCAATGGCTTTGAACCATGGACTTCAAGACTTGTAACAGGGAATAAAAATTTTATACTACTCTGGCCTAACCATGAAATGGAATTAGAATAAAATATAGTAACAAACTGACAAAAGGAACTCATATACTGACAGTTTCTTATGAGCATATTGCAGGCATCCACAGTTCCAGTTCATGCTTGTACAAGAAACAGCTTTGACCATGACTTTGGTTGATGCAGATCGCCCAACTGCAAAAATTTGGCAAGCACCGACCCATGCCAGTATACTGACATTAAAGATCCATATAGGAACCAGCAAGGACACTGC